ATCAAAAAACGAAAAAGGGCATTTTTTGCTCCGCCTTAAAATGAAGGGAGTAGAGCTGTCAGGTCAGCTAAGGACTACGTCATTTGAAGTCAACAGTGGACGATTGCCATTCAACACTTGACCAATGACATTTCATCACATTTCACTCGTGACAAATTATGCCCACAGCTTCCACTCTATCTAGCTATCTGCCTTGGATGGCTCATATCGCACTGTTTAAATTCATTCCATGATCTGTCCTTAATCTTTGTCCAATCCTCATATTTGTGATGTCTCAAACTTCTCCAGAGCCGTCCAATGAAGTTATCCGAGAAAATCCCACCTAAGCCTCTGGAGGTCTACGTTAGCTGAATAGCAGAGCCTTCGCTCGAGTTTTATAAGCGAGATCCTAGACTGACGACACATCTCCTGAGTGCTGCCAGGTCGCAGCTATTCTTCCTACATCGCAATACATTGTATAGGTATATGTAGATTATTTGATTTGTCCGGCGACCTGCCGCTATTTTGGGGACTGCGGTCAGTAACCGCCGACGGTCACCAGGCCAGACAATCGACGGCCAACTTGGCTTACAGGAATTCGGTATTCGGATTGAGCCGATCGTCTGGGCGTCTGTTGTTACCATGGTTACCTCAGACCAGTCCACTTTAGGTATGTGGCGTATCAATCGTACATGAAGCAGCCAGGAGGTCCTATCCTAGCTCGAGACCTGATCAAATGATCCATCCTCAATATTGAGCTGTAGTGGGCTAATGACATTTCGTCGCATTGTCTGGCTGGCATCTTTTCCAGCCGCCGCGCTGCTCAGACGCTATTCGCTCTCATTGTCCTCGATATGAGGCTCGTTTCTATTAATTCATTGTGGTGCGGCTGCCGGCTTCGGTATGCAGACATGGAGAAGACACCCTTGCAGCCTGCATCCTTATTGGTCGGTGCTTATGTAATGCAGTCCAGTCGACATTCACCTGGCATCTCATACCTGGTACCCGGATCACCAAACACAGCCGTTGTCATGGAGATGCTGCTGCCTGAGATTTCCTAACGCGCCGGCACCGCGCGGTATTCCAATAACAACCGCTGCACAAACTGCACCTGGAAGAGTTGCCATGGCAACGACACCGCCACTAACGAACCTGACCTTTTCATTAGACGGAGGTCGAGAGCGCGCACTTGGCGCGCACGACCTTTCTTCGTTCCAAACGGCTGGCTGCTGGCTTGAAAGGTTCCGGAAGGCGCGTTAATTATTTTGCTATGATGCAGGTATGCTCTTTGCTGCCTCAGTGCGTATGATAAAGCTGCACAAATCACACCAAGCATGTTACCGATTTTGTAAACGTTTATCCTTTTCATATAATTGCCGATTGAAATTCTGACATTTAAATTCGGAGTCTGGGATTTTGTGGCCAATAAGACAGAGCCGCGAATGGCCTGTGAAGCCATTGTCATGGCCGTCCTGATCGTAAAGCCGGCCGTTGGCAGGCCATCGCCGTCTTGTGGGAGCAGTCACTCCTCGGAAACCGTGACGGGCTTCTCCGTGGAAACCGTGCCGTGGTGCCGTGAGGACCGCCCGGGGCCGCCGGTCAGCGACACGGCAGGCCCGCATTCACGACCGTCCGACGGAGCCGTGAGTGTTCGTTCACGGAGCCACGTGGGGCCGACCGCGGCTCCTAGTGGTGAGACTATCGCCCAGCTTGTCCGCCCAGTCTGTCCCGAACTTGAGCCATGTTCTCCCGAAACAATCACTTTGTTCGGCCCGTTTCCTTTGTTACGACAAATCGAAACGTAGCGAACTGTCGGGGTGGGCCACGCCCTGCGCCTTCCCCTCGTGTGTGAGGAAGTAAGACATGTCTGGGATTTGGGGACCATCGCGCTGTTCGGGACCAGCGCTACCACAGCCGCTGTGTCAGCCCGTCGGGGCCTTTGCCGAGGTCTGGTAGGTGCGTTGGGCGCCCGCCCTACCGGCACCGACGATGGATTTCCAGGCCGGTCGCCGGCGGCGTCGACGATCGATGGCCCCCAGCGACGGCGGGACGGGCCGGGCCGCTCTGGCGCCGGGCCGGGCGCGGCCGAGCCCCACGCACCGCCGCCGCCGCCGCTGCTGCCGCTGCTGCTCAGTGCCCGGCGTCGGCCTGTGTCGACCCATGGCTTCCCTGCCTCCCTCCTTCCCAGCAGTGCCGACTGCCCGCCCGGCCCGGCCCGGCGGCCCAGGACCCCCCGCCGGCATGGGACCCCCACCGCCGGTATTCTGCATACCTGAACCGCGGGTGACCGGGGAGGGGGTGACAGGGGCAAGGTCAGGAGGGGGGGAGGGGAGTGGACGGACAATGGTGTTAGGGGACGCGGGTTACGGAAACGATCCTATGGCTTCACAGAGTAAACGTGCGGTGTGGTGGATGATATAATGTAGTAAGGCAATCGTGTCTCAGAATATTTTATGCACTGCGTTTTCTTTTCAAAAGCTGTTCCGAAGGGTTGTCGATCAAGTTTAAACCCATCTGACACCGCAATAAAACATCGAAATGTTGGCCGCCGGCCGTCCGGTCGGCTCGGCCATATTCTCGGAGCTGAGCTGTTGACCTTTGCCGGCGCCGGGGACTTTGATCCGGCCGGCGCGGCGCGGCGCGCGATTTCAGGTCACGCTAACCCTGTTTGGACACGGGGACTGGCGGGGCCGGCCCCTCAGACATCACCCCCCCCCAGCTGACCGGTGTGACGTCTGTCCCCCTCTGAGTGACGTGGGCAGGCCGCGGGCTGATTGCGGGGTGTGATTGATGTGGGAATCGCTGGATGATCCCTCTCCGGCTGTGGGGCCGCGCCGTGTGCGGCCGACGTCCCCGATCTCATCCATATCGTCTCCAGGGAGAGCCCGCTGCTGCCCGCCGCCCACCGGCGCATAGACCACCGTCCACCTTCCACCGTCTACTGTCCAGTGTCTACTGTCCGTCCACCGTCCACTGCACTGCCCACCAACGACCGCTGTCCACTGTCGACTGTCCAGTGTCCACCACCCACCGACGTATAGACCACAGTCCACCTCCACTGCCCACTGCTGTCCACCGTCCACCGTCCACTGCGCTGCCCGCTAACGACCGCTGTCCACTGACCAGTGTCCACCGCCCACCGACGCATAGACCACAGTCCACTGCCCATAGTCTACTGCCCATTGTCTACTGTTCAATGTCCACCGTCCACCAGCGAACATATTTTAGTCCATCGCCCACCGACCACCGTCCTGGCCCATATGTAGATGATAGAACACCGCCACCTTCCCACCGTCTACTGTCTAGTGTCCACCGTCCACCGCCCACCAACGAGCGCTGTCCACCGTCCACCGCCCACCGTTCACTGGCGCACAGACAACAGTCCACCGTCCGCCGTCTTCTGTCCACCGTCCGCCGTCTTCTGTCCACTGTCCACCGTCCACCGTCTACGAGTACAGTCCACCGCCCAACATCCACATAAGCATCCTTATGCTAGGCATGGGAGCGTGTTTAGTTAGCATGTTATTTGGACCGCGATGTTTCCTCGAAATGTGCGTTAAACGTCTATTGAGAGCAGCCCATCGGTGATAAGGTATTTAGCATGCTCTTCCTGTTCAATACAAGCATAATGGTACTGGGTCTTTCCTTGAAGTTTTATTTCCCATTGGCGGTTTGTGGACGTTATTCTTGTTATGAGCGATTGCGAAAAATGTAATTTGTCTGTGAAGTATGACGGGTAAATAGTTTTTAATCCCACTGCCATCCAGAGCGCCCTCAATTTTCCTAGACAGCACGTCTCTGTTACATCTGCCATCCACAGACCTTTGAGAGTCTTTCGAGAACTTCCCTCAGAAGAATACAAATGCGTTGTTTTGACATTTGTGTAGGTCGATGCGATGCTGAAGAAAATTCCATTTATTCTGCAAAGCTGGCTGCGCAATAACGAAGCTCAGAGGTATAATCCTTTTATCCGCTTACTGAGATGAAATCCGTTTTAAGAAATCGCACTCAATTCCCAGAAATTTGCATGAACTTTTTATTTAAGGCAGTTTCGTATATGCGTCTCTTTATAAATAAATTGGTCAGACGGAAGACCTTTACTGAAGAGTCGCGAATAGCAATTTGTACGTCAATTTGTCAATGGAACATGTCATAAGAATTTTGTATATTTATCTTATCTATAAATTCATATTTCATAGGTAACCGAAGTGGAATGCATGTCATGCCTTCCTGCATTCTACACCCTACTGCCATGGTGTCGTTCGGCCCGGTGACTGGGACGGCCGTGTCCGAGCCGGTGTTCTGTGAGTGTGGGCGGGTGTCTGCCGGTAACCCGACGTCTACACAGCCGTGCAGACGCCGGCGGCCCTCTGTGCCACCACTCTCGGTCACGGAACAAAGCACGGCGCCCGGCCACCGGCGCCGCGTGGAATATTTACGACGTCGATGTCGCTCAACTATTCATACCCTCCAAAAGTCAAGGACTGCTCGGCTGCTGGCGGGGTCAGCGCGGCGGCGGTGCATCATGAAGCGACCAACTTCGTGCAGTATTTCGTCTGGGTATCCCCTAAGCTCTGTGCAAACTTGGTCAGCGGTCTTCACGTAGGGACGTGTGTCATCTCCTGTGGTCTGCCGAATGTCTTATCGAGACCGCACACGCAGGCTGCGCCGGAGGGCGGCAGATGCGGCTGAAAATGGCTCGCGGTGTGCCGCGTCTGGCGACTCTAACGGTTCCTCTGCGGTCTGCAGAGTGCCAGCGCGGTGAGGTGCGAACGTCCAGAGAGGCGCGCCGCCGCTCCGGCGGCCGGATACATTACCATACATTGGGCGCGACACGGCGACCGAACACGTGTCGGCGCTGCAGCTCGTGTCGGGGAGGGGGGGGGGGGGGCGACAGGGACAGAGAGAGGAGTCCCGAGTCACTCTGGTCAGCTGAGGTCAGCTATGCCAGCCATGGTCACTGGTCAGCTGTGCCAGCTCGCGGGGCCTGCAGAGACCAGACGCTTTCCCTAACGACGCCAGTTTGTTGCCTGCAGGCGGCCGGGGGCTGTTTGTCGGGCGAACTGGATAAATCCGGATAGGCATCCCCAGCTGCGCTTGCCGTTTGCTTCTGCTGATGTAGGTTCATACGGTATCACGACTGAAAGCTGTGTGGATGTCAGACTGTGTCGTCATTCCCGCGTCCTTTTGTGTCGGGGCGCGGCCCCGCGCGGACTGCGCGTGCGCGGCCTGCGCGCGCGCGCTGACCCGGCGAGGGTCAGTCGGTGTCGGGGACGCGGCCGGGGTGCGGCTCCGCTGGAGTGCAATATAGACGTCGGTGCAGGACATCTGTGTGTCGAGCGGCAGCGCGCGAGAGCATCACATGGCGCGGTCGGTAGGACCCGAACCTACGCTCCCAAAGGGAATCTGATTTCCAATCAGCTACGCCTAGCGCCGACTCCGACGACGACCCCCAGCCGGTCCCAGCGCCCGCTTGCAGTATCCTGCACGTCCACGTGAGTCCCGACTTGCAATGCTGAGAGGGGGCGTGCCGTTCTGTCGTACCGCTCCTTCGCCTGCCTCCGTAGCTCCTCCGCCTTCCTGTCACTCTCGTCGGCTGCCCTCTGCCACTCCGCCGCGAACGAGCGATGATGAGCCGGGATCGACGACCGCAGCGGGTGGCCGAACAGCACTTGTGCTGGCGACCGACCGTCCGCTCTTGGAGTATTGCGCAGCTCCAGCAGCGCTCTGGCGAACCCGTCGTCATCCAGCTGACCGCCCGTCGTTGCCGTCAGGATGAGCCGCTTCACCGCCTTTACCGCCGCCTCTGCGTGCCCGTTCGACCTGGGATGATAGGGTGATGACAGCTCATGCCTCACACCCCAACGCGCTAGGAACCGCCGTACAGTTGAAGACGTAAACTGGGGCCCGCCGTCCGTTCTTAGAAGCTTTGGCACTCCCGTGTCTGCGAACACCGAACGCAACGCTTTAGTCAGGTGTTCCGCCGACGCCGCTCCACGCGGGCACGAACTGACATACGGCCATCCAGACAAACGATCGACATACACCAAATATGTGCGACCAGCCACATGAAAGTAATCTGCTGAGACCGATTCAAATACCAGGGACGGTGGGGCGTCGTTCTGCCACAGAGGCTCGCTGGGATGACTAGGCAGTAGCTGACGGCACCTCGGGCAGGAGGAGACGACATTCTCGACATCGTTGTCTATCCCGGGCCAGTAGACGGTTTGGCGGGCTCGTCGCTTGGTTCTCTCGACTCCCTGATGCCCATCATGCAGCCGCAGTAGTGTCTCGCGGCGCAGTCCCTGCGGTATGAGCAAACGGGCACCGTACACGATGAAACCGTCATCGATAGCGAGCATAGAACGAACACTCCAATATGCGCGCAGATCAGGACGCAGCTCCTGCCGATGGTCCGGGAATCCGGATTTGATGACGTCCATGAGTGCTCCGTACTCCGGATCCCGAACAGAGGCCGCCCGGATCTTCTCCAGCGTGTCGTCCTGCAGAGGTGCGAGCCGGACGCCACCCTCCGTCAAACTGCTCAGACCGATGACGACTGCTGCGTGAAGAGGATCAGGTGAGTCATCAACCACTTCGTCATCCGGAGTGGGCTGGTCCACAGGGGATCTTGACAAAGCGTCCGGAATCTGATGAGACGCACCTTTCTGCCAACTAGCTTGAAAGCTATACCCCAGTAGTTTCTCCCGCATACGTTGAAGCCGCGGGTTCTCAATTTGGTTTAGGCCCTTACTGTTCAAAATCGGCACTAGAGGGCGGTGATCCACCACTATATCGAACTGCGGCAAACCGGCCAGATACGTCCTGCACTTGTGACACGCCCATACACAGGCCCCCATCTCGAGCTCGCATACGGCGTACCTTGTTTCTGCATCAGTCAAGAAGCGGGAGCCGCACTGTACCAGCCTCCAATCGTCATCGTGCCGCTGTAGCAGAGCGAAGCCCATGCCTTTCGTCCGCGAGGCGTCCGTCTGCAGCTTTGTCGGAAGAGCTGGATCGAAGAAGGCGAGGATGGGCGGCGACACCAGCGCCGCCTTCACCTCCTCGAACGCTGCTTCATGCTGCTCCGTCCACCTCCAGACGTTCCTCGGTTTCAGCAGATCTCTCAACGGCTGCGCTGCGTGGGCCAGGCCACTGGAAAACACACCCAGCTGGTTAGTTAGTCCCATGAAGGAACGCAGATCGGTGATGCTTTGGGGTCGCGGGAAGCTTGCGATAGCTCTGATCTTTTGATCATCTGAAGTGTACCCGCTGGATGAGATGACGTACCCGCAGTACTCCACCCTAGCTCGACCGAACCTGAACTTCTTGGGGTTGAGCGTTATCCCCCACTCGTCACAGCGTTTCACGACGGCAATGACGTGCTCCAAATGTTCGCGATAGCTGCGGTCATAAATGAGGATGTCGTCTACGATCTTAACCGTCTGCGGGATATCCCCTAGCGCCTGGTCACCCCTGCGGTTGTACTCGTCGCCCGAGCTAACCAGACCCATTACAGCCCTCTTGAACTTGAAGCGCCCCCAGGGGGTGATGAAGCACGTCATATCCTGACATTCTTCCGCGATCTCCACTTGAAAATAGCCCATCTTTGCGTCCAACGTAGTTAACCAACATGCCCCTGTACCAATCGTAGCTATGGCATCATGCGGGGCACGTACAGGGTACGTTGGACGAAGTACATACTTGTTCAGCTGGACCAAGTCGACACAGAGTCGGACCCCCGACGGCTTCTTTGCGATGGGCACAATCGGGTGACACCACGCTGTTGGGTAGTTCACAGGTGCGATGATATCCTGAGAAAGAAGGTCATCGAGTTGAGCCTTGATTTCATCGCGCCAGCTGTACGGTATGGCGCGAGCAGCAGTCACAGCGCGTGGGCGGGCATCAGCAGACAGTTCAATGCGCATGGGCTCACCTGCCATCGCTCTCAATGTGCCCGACTGACCAAAGACCCCAGGGTATGCCGCCGTGATAGCGGCAGCATGCTCGGCTCGCTGCTGTTCTGTGGGGTCATAATCGTGAGGCCAAGTAGGAAGTGCTACCGCTGGGTCCCCAGGCCGCACATGCGGTCTCTCACCTGCATGATCCACCGGTGCGCTGACGACGGCCCCCGGCACAGCAGGCATCCCCGACCGATCAGCGGCAGAAACCGTCCGGGTCGCCGGCGGCGCCGGACGATAACCCAACCGCTCAGGACGAACAGTCGGCGACTCCGGACGAGCGCGCGGCTCAGGGCGAGCAGCTTGTGGCTCCGGACAAGCGCGCGGCGGCTCCGGGCGAGCAGCCGGCTCCCGGGACACCGGTCGAACTTCCCGGTTGACGGCAGATGGCAGCACCTCGTCCCTTTCACTCACAGATGGCGCAGGCATCGCGGCGGGGCGTCCTGCGACTGAAGAAGTCTCATCTCTTCCCGGTGCGGCCACTCCTGCGGCGCACGGGGACACTCCCCGCTCACGACCAGGCGCCCATGACCTGCTTCTCTTGACAGACCCGATCTGGGCGGGGAAGTCCGCCGGTAGCACACCGAGTGCGATGGAGTCGAACCAGCTGATGAGGGGACCACTGAGCTCCTTTATAACGGACACAACTGTATCTGTTTCCCATTTCCCGAGCGTCAGTTGAGCCGGGAAACTGCCCAAACACGTCAGTTCCTTACGGCCCGCGGCTGAAAAGCTTGAACCGCACGCTGCTTGGTCTAGCGAGTTTACATTGATCCCTAACGCTGCAGCATCTTCTGGTCCCATGACTGTGGCATCGGCCCCTGAGTCAGCAGTACATTTCAGCGTTCCCCCGCCCTCCGCATGCGAGAACTGTACCTTGATAGCGGGGGCTGGGCGCGCGTGGGTGCCGCGCCACACGCTCGCGATCACAGGATGCAGGTAGTGGCCGGTCGGGCTGACGTCGCGAGGGCGCCTCGGGCTGTGACCGGTCGGGCTGATGTCGCGAGTGCGCCGCGAGTCCGATCTCAGACGAGGCTGATGAGAGTGACGCACTTGACTGATGGCAGCGTCCTGGCGGCATACATTAGCGAAATGACCTTTCGATCCACACGCATTGCACCTGCGACTCACCGCCGGACAGAGGCTGACGTCCCGGTGGGGCCGGCGTCCGCACCGGTCACATCTGACCGCAGGCGATGGCGAGCGGTAGCGGGTCCGCTCCCGCGACACCGGGGATGGAGTGACCCGCCGGTCGACGGAGTGCCTCTCCCGCTCCCGGGAAGAGGGGCGAACGCGATCATGCCCTCTCCGTCCTCTCTGGTCCTGCTTGTACTGGGACATCTTGTACAGGGAATGCGCGGAAGCGCCACGAATTTCGACGCTGTCTCTGGAGGCATTTTCACAAGCACGACACATATCAACGGCCTTTTGCAGCGTCAGGTTTTTCTCTTCAAGCAAGCGTTTTACGGTATCTTCGTTTTGAATCCCAATTACGATACGATCTCTCAAACGATTATCCAGGCACGAAGTGCAAAAATCGCAAAACCCCGCGATCTCTTTGATAGCACACAGGAAGTCATCAAACGTCTCACCGGGCTCCTGGTTGCGGCGGTAGAAATCCCGTCTGTCCACGATGACGTTTCGCTGCCCCCGAAGGTACTCCTCCATTGCCTTGATGACGTCACTCAGGCTAGCTTCTGTTGAGACAGAAAGGTTATACCGGATTATCCGAGTCCAATCATCGCTTACAACGGCTAACAAAGCAGCCCGCTGCTCGGCGGGGGGAAGCAGCGACACACGAGCCAGCAGCGAGTACCCTTCAAATTTTTGCCGCCACGCATCGAACTCTCGCAGTGACACGGAGGAGTTCAAATATGGGGCACTGACCAACGGCTTGCTGACAGAGGCGTGACTGGGTACATTACCAGTAGTCGCTACCTCCCTGGGTGATTCCGACGGGCGATCCTGCAGAAGTCGCTCGACCATCCCCGCGAGACGTTGTTCCCGTTGAGACGCCTGCTCCTGGGCGGCTGCGGCCATCTCGGCCTGCTTGACGAGCAGAGCCGTCAACTTGTCTACACCTTCCTGACTCATTGTTGCCGACTTGATCACCACAGTAGGTCGATAACCGACCGCGCCATGTGATGCTCTCGCGCGCTGCCGCTCGACACACAGATGTCCTGCACCGACGTCTATATTGCACTCCAGCGGAGCCGCACCCCGGCCGCGTCCCCGACACCGACTGACCCTCGCCGGGTCAGCGCGCGCGCGCAGGCCGCGCACGCGCAGTCCGCGCGGGGCCGCGCCCCGACACAAAAGGACGCGGGAATGACGACACAGTCTGACATCCACACAAAAGCTAGTTTCCCCGAAAATATTAACATTTTGCGGCGATTTAGACACAAGGACGCTGCCATTGTTCCCTGGTATAATTAGGTAAAATCTTTCCTATCTCATTATTTAACCATGAAACAATATCACCATAAATTAGACGAAACCAAGAACAATAAAACTGAACGCCTAACGAACACTAACTCGTTCCAATGAGTGCCCGTTGCATCAGCCCGGCCGTTTCGGCGGACGGGAGTCGCTTCATGACCGTGCCGCTCTGACCCAACCCCGAGGGCTGAGAGTTCTCGAACTCTGTTCCAGACTCCAGACTAAGCCTGGATTCGTCCAGACTCCGGCGACAGTCTCTGTTTGACGGCCACTTTTCCAGGACTCATGAACTTCCGACGGGCGCGCCGGCCGGCTCCAGAGGACGCTCGACTCATGAATTTGGCTCGGAGCTCGGACTAATCAGGTCGTCCGTAGTCGCTCGTCGTTTGCGACGTTAATTACCAGCTGCCGAATTCGTCCCGAGACGGTAGCTGCGACACACAGCCGCCCGGAGAGCCATGAATATGTAATGGGCCCGTAATGGGTCGTTATGCAGACTCAGTTGCCATGAGAGATTCAGCGCACGAACTGGATCCGTGGGGAGCCTTTCTAAGGCGCGTGCGGGCAAGATTGCGACGGTCCGTGTTTGCGATAGCAGTTTACTCCGGGGCCGATCTAATTTATGGGATGGCGCTCGTATATTTGCATGCCTTGCGTTGTTGCACGACATTCATTGATGGTGTGGGTCGCCGGGCGTCATCCCACACAATGCATCTTCGATTTAGGCTCAGCCGACCGGTCGCGCTCAATGGGGGCCGATTCCAGGCATTGGGTTCCAATTCCCGGCATGCGCCATTCTCTGGACACCGACAGCTTCCATTTCGCGCTCGAATTCACGCGCGGCCGCGGTCGGATCATATTGTCGCCAGAATGGACGGCCGCCGCTGCGGCGCTCCCCTAAGCAATGTCTCTCCTCTGAACGGCACGACCGTCGACTGGAAATGGTCGGACCGCGTCGTCAGGGTGCGCCCGCGTCGTTCGCAGCCGTGCCGGCAGTCGGTCGTCGGTCTGTCGGTAAACTCGGGAGTGTCGTGACTCACCGTGAGGCCCGGCGGCGTCACGAATCCATAATCCGGGTCCGTTCGACCCTGCCCCGGCGCCGGGCTGGTGGCTGAGGGGTGGGGGAGGAGTGGGGGACGACCGACGCCCGACACCGCACCCCGTCAGGTGTGATCGGGTGACTCTCGAACCCGGTGTTTGGACGCCGCGGGGCGGTCGGTGTAGGGTCGGCTCCAGCCGCAGTGAGGCCGCACCTGTGGCTGTGCGGACCGCTCTGCTGCGCTGCCCAGGTGTCGGCACGTCGCCGCCCCCACCGCCCGTGTCGCATTTCGGCGCACGGCTCGCGTTTCGCGGCGCACGTCCGGCGTTGGTGGGAGCGGGTCGGGGGTAGGGGTGCAGCGTGACCCGGTGTGAGGGGGTGCCTGTCACAGGGGCCGACAATGGCGCCCGCCCCGCCCCGCCCCCTCCGTCCGCAGTGCAGAGTGCAGGCCGCTGGCGCTGCAGCCCTGTCCGGGGGCAGGGCGGAGCCAACAGGGCGCATCACGGCGCCGGCTGCCGGCCGACGCCCAGCGACCGCAGACTGCCGCCCCCGCCCCCGCCCCGGGCCGCGGCGCCGGCGGCCAGCGGCCCCCGCCCTGACCGGTACCAGACCGACGGTCTCTCTGTTCTAAAGTTGGTGACTCGTTCTAAAAGCCCCGCCGGCTCAGAGTGTGGCCGAGCTGACAGTGGGATCGGACAGGCGGCGCGGTCGGCGCTGAGCTGAGCTGACGCGGCGTGTGCTGTTACAGCTCAGCGAGCTGACGCAGCTCCGCTGAGGCCCTCAACCGGCGGGCTCGCAACGCAGCCAGTGCTGCTAAACGAATCATATGCGGCGGTTTACCGTACTGGGGCTGGTGAGTGGCGGGTGGTGACTATAATAGGTAAATGGAAGCTGTTGGGTAACTGAATTTATCAGAACCCTTCAAAATTCGAATCAGTCTTACGACCCGACTTTGTTCGGATACTTCTCGAGCTGTGAAGGAGCCAAGTTTGAGAATTCACCAGAGAAAGGTCAAGCTTCAAAACCCGCCCGGTCCTTCCAACACAATCGACCCACAGCGCCTGAGGAGAGTCAGTTCCAAAACCAATCACAAGTTTCCAACTCCGATCCACAGCGCTGCTCGAAGCCCTCAGTCGTCAGGAGCAAACCGATTACCAGAGCTGGGACGCGACTCAGTCACCGAAACGAGCTCAGTGCGTATCACAACACACCACACGACACACAGCCCAGCCCTCCCTCCCCGGCAAACTACCGCCTCAACTGCCGTCAAAGCCGTCGGCCCGAGCCGCCAATCCTCTGAGCGGCTTGCTGTGATCCTCTGAGCTACAGAAGCTGCGCGGCAGCTTCTGTAGCTTCACTTCGTCTTCACACAGCGGGGTGCCCGGTGGAGCTGCGGCAGCTCGGCCCACCCGCCGACGGTGCGTGTCAGGGGCGCGGCGCGGGCGCGTTCGATCGGTGTCGGCTCGGAGCGAGCCGCGCTGACTCACCGACCGGTCAATAGCTGCTCCGCCGCCGCCGAGTCGTCCGAGCCCAGCCGCGACGGCAACGACGCGACGGCGACGGCGGCGACGACGTGGGGCGTGCCCACTGCCCGCCGATGGTCACCGCCGGCCCGGTGACCTATGACATGAGGACAGATCGTCCGGCGGCTGACCGAGCGGCGGCCGTTTGCGCGGCGCCGCCGCTCGGTGCTATTGACACTGATGGACGACGGCGAGTGTTTGCTCTTCCGACGCGAGTCGGTGTTGACGCAGCCGCGCGCCGTCTCGCTTTCATTTCGACCTGCCGAGGGCTCTCATCGCGTGCGTTAGCATCGGCGGCGGAAGGCGAGAGGTAGATTGAGATGCTGATGTGAGGCGCTGTCGGCTGCAGCGGCGGGTGAGGTGATCAGCCGACAAATGGTGTGCTGTTAACCACCCGCCGACCGCGCAGCGGGGAGCGGCTCCTGCAGAACGAACGCAACTGGCCGCACATCTGCAACACCGAGATTTGTGGCTTATTGAACGTATCCTCTCACCCCAGGTATCTAAGTCTAATATTGATGGACTCAGACGGAGGTTTATGCGAAATCATCTGACAAGAATACCTACTTCCCTTCGGTTTTGGGCATAGCGTTAATCCTCGGTCATTTGGAGTCATTAGTCTGCTGTCCCACCCTTCCCTCCTGGATCCAATATCCAGGTTCGGCCGCCAGACGACCTTTCCCGTCCCGTCCCGTCCCGCCCCCTAACCTAATCAGCGGCCGCCCACAGCGTCGTGCGTTTAATCCCGGGACGGAGGCCGCGGCGACTGGCGCCGCTGCCGACCCTAACGGCCGGCACATCTTCCTTATCGCCGGCTTCAGAGGGCGGCCATTTCCCTCATCACCACCAGCGGTGTACCATTGTGAGCGGGAGCCGCAGCTCGTGAGCGGGAGCCGCAGCTCGCAGCTCGAGCTGACGGGCCCCCCGCCCTACTCCTCCCCCTCAGCTGTCCGGGCACGGCCGACCACCGCCGGCCATCGGTCTTCTCCCAGCGCAAAAACGACCGCTCCAAATCTAGCTGCTTTATTGGCGACCGACAGTTGTCTGGCTGCGGCTGGCAGCCGCCGCTGACTAGACCGGGCCTGGCGGAGAATGGCCGTCCGCCCGCCGCCCGCACTGGCCTCACACTCTCCGGGGCGCGCGCCGCCGCCCGTCCGGCGCGCCGCGCCCGATACATCATCACATCACGAGCGCGCGCGAGCACACCACCAACGGGAGATCACAAAGGGATGGGCAAAGACCGAGGAATGTCTGAGAGATAAAGGGAAACTGCAGTGGCCAGTGCGCAAGTGGCAGGGTAACAGGACACGTAACGTTAAAGCTGCGTCGCAGGCACCCGCGCGGGAGTGCCAAGCTAAAGGTGGACAAAGCTGCCGAGAGTCGCCGAAAGTCACACAGAATGAACAGCCGACCGGGAATGTATCTATCGTCGCGCCTGCGCCGGCGCCGGCCGCGTATGGCACATGGTTACAACTGGGATAATCTCGACGGGCTTATACAGAGACGCAGACACCACGTCTACACCGCCCGCCCGCCAACGCCGCTACCAAAAGCGTATACACAAAATACGTTTATACACACGACGCTAGCGCACGAATGAGTCTTGGTTTAATGTACACCTATATGGGATGCGCTCCACCCTCAAAGAACTAAAACCTCCTCTCGTCAACCGCTGAAGAACTTGCGGAGCGCTCCTACTGCGCCGCTCATTTGCTCTCAAAGTATCTGTAGGTGGGGTTCTCGTACCCGTTGACCTGCATCTGGGTGACGTGCGGCTCCTCGGGCGCCGCTGTCTGATCCACCTCTACGAAGCCGAGGCTGCGCGGCGCGCGCTGGCGGCGGCGCAACGTCAGCGCACCGGCCACCAGCGCCACCGTCAGCGCGATGCTGGCCAGCGCCACCGTGAAGTAGAGGCCGCGCCCGCCGCCCGAGCCGCCGCCGCCGTGCGCCGGCCGCAGCACCTGATAGGTAGCCTCGCCCTGCGTGTGCGCGCTGGCCTGCGCGTGAGAGATGACCGGCTCGACGTTCTGACCGGGCAGCGTCTCGTCCTCCATCGTCTCCGGATCGAAGTCGTCGACGCGGTGACCGGCGGCCGCCTCGACGCGGTGCAGCTCCTCGCGCGCCGCCTCGTGCGCGGCCAGCTTCTCGTCACGCGCGCGCTGCTCGGCGGCCAGGATCTTCTCCTGAGCGGCGCGGTCATCGGCAGCCTTCTGGACCATATCCTGCACCTCTCCGGCGGCGTCCAGCACCTGGCCGCCCATCAGCTCTGCCGGCGTCGAGTCCTGGCGCCGCAGCTCGGCCACCGTGCGGGACAGCTCCGGCAGGATCTTCTGCTGCACGCTGGGGAAACGCTCCAGCATCTGGAGGCTGTTGTTGACCATGAGGTCGATGTCATGCAGGTGCTGGGCGGTGGCCGTCTGCTGAGCGCTGGCCGTCTCCGGGTCGGTGGTCAGCAGGTGGCGGAAGTGCGAGATCGTGTGGTGACGGTCCTTGAACAGCGCCCGCGTCAGGCGGCTCAGACACTTGTGCACGACGTTCGTCTGGATGGGTTTCTCGCCGAGTGCGCGCACGTAGCAGGCGCGCGCGTCCTTCTTGCGCTCGTTGATGTGCGCGACGATCCGCTGCTGGTGGAGCGACACCAACTGGTGCTTCTCGGCGGCGCCCTGGTCCTTGAGCTGGTCCATCAGCTTCTGGAAGTGCGCCGTCATCTTAGTCTTGAACTGGTCGGCCTGCGCCGGGCTCTCGGCCTTGATCTTCTGGTAGCGGTCCTCGAGCTCGGTCCAGCGCTGCATGATCCGCTTGATCTTGCGCCGGTGGGCCGACTCCAGACGCCGCTCGGCAGCCTTGAACGCGTCGTGCTCCACCCGCGGGTCGAAGCGCGTGAAGTAGGGGTCGCGCGTGGCCGCCACGGGCTCCAGCTCGAGCTCCGGCTCCAGGGTGATGGCCTCGGCGTCGATGTTGATCTCGGAGGTGAGCTGCGGCGGGAAGTTCTTCTCGAAGGGCTGCTGCGCCGGCGGCTGCGTGGTGGCCTCCCGCAGCGGGCAGCAGACAAACTCCACGCCGGTGAAGATGTCGGTGCCGCACGGCAGCAGCATGGCGAAGCTGCGCAGCGCCATGCCGCGGTCGCGGCACGCCTTGTCGGCCGTCTGGTTCCAGCGGTCAAAGTCCCAGCACCAGGAGCTGTTGTGGATGTGGTCGAACTGGCACGGCTCGGGCACCAGCAGCGCGTCCGACTGGAACTTGCCCTCCAGGCAGCGGTACGGCTTCACCAGGTACGACTCCTGACACTTGTCGTGGCCCAGCTTGCACCAGTCGTCCACCATGAACGAGTGCGTCGACTCGACGATGTTGGTGATCTCCAGCTTCGGGTAGACCCGCTTGCAGTACTCGAGAATCTCCTCCTTGTTCTTCAGGCAGCCGTCTTTGTTGTCCAGGTCGGAGACCCAGCGGCCGGCCGAATCCATGTATTGATTATGGTAGTGGTCGGGCTGGTCGCAGACCATCGCTACCTGCGGCTCCGACCTCGGCTGGGGCATGTCAACGCTGCTGGCACCCACAGCCTCCACATAGCCGTCTGTGAATTTTGATATCGAAAGCAACGCAACAACGACAAAGAGTTCCTTCCCCGCCATCCTCACCGTGTCCGGGTCCACACGGAGCTCCGCCTCCCTCACCGTCACTGGGCACCTCGGCGGCGAACTGCGGCGGACCCTCCAGGCCCGGCTCGGCGCGGCGTAGGGCCCGCGATCGATACCACACAGCTGGGGATAGTGCTCATGCGCCGGGAGCTTTTCGTCGGCACAAAAGTAGTTTCATGATTATGCTCGGTTTCATTCTAAGTTGATACTTGAATTGATTTTTTTATGGATAATAATTTTGATTTTATCACATTGAATGATTTATCTTTTTATTTTCTCGGTTTATTTTTAAAAAGTTAAGTTCTTATCTTCGAAGTCCGATTCATGTGGTGAATACATTGAAGTAATTTCTCTGAGAAAATGACGTCAAATAAATTTCATACATTCAAATTGTTTTTATTTTTTGTCAAAAAACAATTTTATGCTTAACTTTTAATAATCAAGACATGAAAAGAAACAAAATTGAATTAATTTTAGCTAAAATTGGGAAATATTAAATACTGACGTCATTTAATTTGCCGTATGACTGCCAACTGAGCTTCTTTTTCGTGCCATCGACTACCCTACCTTGTAATGTGTACAAGCCTTTTTGTTTACATTTGTTGTGACGAAACTGGCGAGGCACCGCGCCGGACTGTTGTTGTCATTTGACTTCTTGAGGCTGAGGTGGGAGGACTGTCGACTGTTGAGCTTAGCTTCTTTGCTTTTCTGTTTTCAGCATATATGGCGGTTGGACATAAGTCTCCTGCTGTTGCGTTTAGTTAAAGTGAGCCACAGTTGACAACTAGTTCAAGCTGTCTTGAAGCATCAGGGACCTGACTTTCCTTTCATGATTTATGTTTCGACTCAATCTACTTTCTGTGTAAAGAAAGCTCAACTTTCAGTTTTCCTAACAGTGATATCAGGTATTCCTAACATGACATTGCAGGTAGAGATGGTTATACCTACATTCCTGGCGTGAGTGATACCCCCTGGCCCCTGGTTCTGCCAGTACATCAACATGTATTTTTATTTTCCAGGTTGCTGTCAACAAGGTGTTACGATGGCTCTGTCTCGTCCGCTGGCCAAGGGCCTGCCTCTGAAGCATTGCTGTGAAGCTGTCTCATCAGGTGTAGGCATTACACCAGACAAGGGCCAGGAGGTCCACCAGGGTAAGAGCATACCATGGCTACATGAAACCTTTGGTTCTGTTTCACTGCCAGTTTTCATTTAAGGATTTCCCATAAAATCTATGCAATATGATTTTCTTTTATTATATGTGGCTTTGGGAAAGTGAGAAAAAATGTTACAATTGAACAAGATATCCCATTTATTACTACTTCAAGTTCTTGATATATCACATGTTCTGAATGTAAGTGAACAAGGCTGAGATCCTGTGGGATGAAAGTGTTTGTGTTTTGTTTTCTGTGTTATGTTTCCACAGCAGAAAGTACACAGAATAAGCAAAACAACTTGTACCTGAGTCGAGCAAGAATTTTAGGAGCTGTACCCTCTTGAAAAATAAGGTCCACCTAGTTTAAGCTTATTAGCCAACATATAATTTTTCACTAACGCCCTTCAAGTCGGCCTGTGTCCCTGTTTCCCATCATACAGCTGGTATGGGGACCCGCAGTTGCTACTGTACAGCGACCCTGAGTAAATTGTCCCAGCACCCTCACAGGGAACAGCAATAAGCTGTCAAAAGGCAAGTACAGAAACCCTCAGCTATTCTTGTACAGGGACCGGTAGTCGATATCAATGTTATCGGTTGTTACTGGGCAGGACAGACGGCTAGAGTTGGGGCTCGTGTACAGTAGCAACTGCGGGTCCCCGTACCAGACAGTGTTTAATGACTTGCCCTGTGTTTCAGTGACCCGCTCCCAGCTCTCCAAGCTGCACCTGAGCCCGTCCTCTGAGTTGCACGTGCACTCGACCAGCCTGCACCCGCCTCTGATGCCGCCCAACCTGGACGAGCTCAACTCATCGCGGTTCAAGTTCAGCGCGCGCCGCTCGCGGGACATCTCTGGCCGACTGGCGCTGCTGAGCGGCGGCGGGCTGTCGGTGGGCCGCGCTGGCCAGGACGTGCCGCGCACGGCCGGAGGGGCGCCGCCGGCCGCGCCCGACTCGCACGTGCAGTCGTACGACTGCCGCGGCGCCATCAGCCTGCACTCTGTGATGCAGACCAACGTGCCGGAGCCGTTCGACGTGCACCTGACGGGTAGCCACACGGCCGACGAGCTGCACATGCCCGGCGGTCAGCCGACGCACCTCAACATGCCCGGCGGCCAGGCCGCCCAGGAGGAGAAGTTTATCGCGCGCGACCTGCAGGCCGTCCACCCGCGCAAACAGCAATGAGCCGCAGGTGAGACGGGGCAGAGCAGGGCAGGACGTCAGGGTAGGACAGGACAGGACGTCAGGGTAGGACAGGGCTTGAGGGCAGGACGGGACAGAGCAGGACAGGGCGGGTATCAGTGCGATTTAACCGCACTGATAGCAGTCAGCGGTTATTGCCGGTAGGTGGTAGCCAGCATGAGATTTTTAATATTCATCCGCCATTTTCATCTAGGTTCGATTGAATTCTTGGGTTATTTCGCCGTTCAGGATCGTTTTTTCGCCGTTCTGGGTAGACATTTTTTAAAAAGCAAGTGTTTTAACGTCGGAAGCCAGGGGAGGAGCTTCGATGAACCGTCTTTTCCGAAAAAACTCAGATGTTCTCAATTCGTCGGTTTGGACTAAGTCCACGCCAAAGCGTCCGTTTTTGGCTTCCATTATGACGAGTGACTGATATGAGTTGATCTGATCAGTCTGCATTTCTTCGCAGCATGTCAATGTGCATGCCTAATATTTACGATCAAACCTTTCAAGTTGTATTTCAAAATAAGCAGTTTATAACCAAGCCTTTTCCTTAGTTTCAAAACCATAAACCGTCCAACTCGTTTTGCTGTCGGGCGAGTCGTTTTCAAATTCAGCACAAAGAAAATGTAGCAGGTCGCCTAAATTACTTTCGTCAGTCCTCATTGCCGTTGTTTTTTCTTCGGAGCACCGTCCGCCTTTATCGTCTTTGTTCCAGCAGTTTTTGCACTGATATTGAGTTCAAGATTACTTTATTGAGCCGTCTCTAAGCCCTCAGCTTTACTTTGTCCAACTTTTCCTCGCTTCCCGAGCCAAACAACAGCGCTGGCTGCTCCTGTCACCTATTTCTCTCTCAAGAGAAACGAAAATAGTGCCGTAAAGCGCACCCTGTCCCGATTTCCGCGCGAACTGAGGCCGTTCGGGGACAAAGCCGATCCACATTGTCACTGACTCAGCCGGCCTTCATTCGGACACAAACAGGGTGGCCGGCCGTCGGGGCCGCTCCGGCCGCCGGCGGTGTTTTCCTCGGTCCCCCCGTCGACGCGTCGGCCCCGACGCAGTGTGCGTGCCAGCTGTGGCCGCCGGGTGCCAAGGTTGCACGCCGCCGCGGGTGGGCGGAGGTGCCGACGGAGGGGGACTGGCAGCGGCGCTACAAGGCAAAGGTCGACTCTGTTTGTCGTGGCAGTCTCCGCCGGGCGACGGCGACTGGGGTGGATCGAGGGCCACTTTGTTCGTGTGGGGGTGACGCATCTGGTTGATTTTCAGAATACCTCATGCTGCTGCTCTTTTGGTTGTGTTTTCCAAGTTTTGCGTCTTTTCTCATATGTCAGGTATTCCGTATTTATTTAAACTGTCCATTCACATACGATTTTGTGGAAGATGTCTGCTTCGAAATGACATGTATGCAACTTCGAGGATCAACTGTACCAGATCCGTGGGCGATGGCCTCCATCCAGCTCGTACTTTCAACGGATGACAAACCTCAAAAATATTTTTCTCTAACGGTCACCAGGGAACGAAGCATTTCATTTGAATGGTGAATCGTTTTACATTACATCTCGCCCCACCGCTCCCGGCCGTCCGGTTTTGCTCCACCTCTCCTCCAAACAGCGGATGTGACAGAGCTGCCGTCCCACCGGTGCGGCTCGCACCTGCCCCCGCCTCACGTGTCCGCTGCCGTCGGACACGTGCCCGTCGCCGGTCGCACGCGCTGCCCGCCGTCGGTACCGTCGGCGACCGCCCGTCGGGGTCTATGAACTGCCGGCCGTCTGCGGGTCGTTTGATGTGGTTAAGGTGTGCCGGCACCGGTGCCAGGCGGCCCCGGCCCGGGCCACGCGCGGACAGCGTGGTGCCTGCCGCGGCGGCTCGGCCGAGCACCTGGTTTGGCGGCGGGCCCGGGCCCGGCCGGCAGCTGCGCACCTGCGATGTGGTCCTTCGGAGCAGGGTGAGGTTAGCTGGAGCTCCCCTCCGTCTTTGGCTTGGGCTTTCAAGACCCAGGTGGCTGTTGACTGATGACGTTGGTATGGGCAGTTTGTCCTTCAAAGGACAGACATTTTTGAACATTTGTTTTTCCCATGGAAACAGCATGAGAAGTTTCAGTTGACAGCTGCTGATGAGTATATATGATGAGTATATAGCTGATGTATGTCCATACCTGCTTTGTTTTCTCAAGGCATCTTCGTTTCGGGCTTTTTTACATAGGCTAACAATTCGTGTTTCTGCACCACAATGGCGTCCCCCTGCCGAGTCAGTCCCGGTCGCTCTCCAACCCCGCGTGGGGTGTCGCTGTCGACTCGACGCTCAGTCGGCGGTCGTCGATGTCGACTCGACGCTCGATCGGAAGCCGCCGTTGTCGCTCCTCTCACAGCCGGCGAGCCCAAGGCCATTGCACGATCGGCGCTCGGTGCCAGCTCAGTTTTTACCGACTCGGCACGCCACAGCCCCGCGGCGTGTTCAACAGACAGATGCTGACACAAGGGTGAACGCGCAGCCAACGCCAAGGTCAGCCAATGTGGGCCGCTTTTTGCGTCCGCGTTGGGTAACGATTGGACTTCCTTCTTAGAATGGCTGTAGCCGTTCTTCAGAAATGACACACTATCGGGACTACTAGTTGTCCGCACTGCCTTATCCACTTCTACTTCGTTGACATGGATGGTGCTGAAATAGGTAAGACTAGTCTCAGTCTATGTAAATTTGTTTCTAGATCCTTTGATGCGATTATTGGTTCACAATGCCGTAACAAAATTTTGACTTCCTTTGGACGGGAACTCTCAGTTACTTGCATAATGCACACGCATGTAACGTTTTTTTTTTTGCCCCCGTCGATTTTATTATCTGCGTTAAGTGCTTAGAATGCGTTCAACCTTTCGGTGCTTGTCCAGAGTCAGTGACTGTCGGACTGATCTCCTTCAGCGCCACCCATTCCGGCCGATCGGGCGACCTTTTTACTGGAACGGCCGGGCTCCGTCGCTCGCTTCCCTGTTTGCGTCGGAGCCGATGACCCCTCCCCCCGGGGGCGGGGGGGGGGGGGGGGGTGGCCACGCGCTGTCCTCGTGATCGGCACCAACCGCCGCTGTGTTGAGTTCCCACTGCGCCGTGCCGCCGCCGCTGCCAGCTGCGGGTCATGGCGCCGGGCCCGCCCCGGACGGTAGTGGCTCCAGGCGCGCCTGCAGGCTGGGCCAGGACTGTATTTGGAGTGACGAGGGAGTTCGACGTTGTTACAGAACAGGACGCCTGTCTTGGTTCACCGACCGTTTTGTTTGCGTGCCGATATTGGTTGGTGTGGTCGCCGTTTCTCCCTCCGTGACCTATTGCTTTTGTTGCACTATTCGTTACCGCTTGGTACCTCTTGCATAACATCACATCAACTTCTGCCTTCTATTCTCTACTTCGCAGTTGGGACGGCCTATTGTCAGTTATTTTTACAAGCTGTTGTTACTGTTGGCTGCTCATGGGTCACCGATTGTATCCACTGGCCGGGGAAGTCGCCAAACCAACAACACCAGGGACTAACGAGTCCAACTACATAGATCAGTGTGGCCTCGTCCGCCGTTCTTAGACTGAAAGGTCTCCCTTCCGCTGGTCTCCCGGCCATCAGCGCTGCCTCCGACCCTCCCCCGCCCCGCTCCATGGGTGCGGCCCGGGGGCCATCCCGGCGGCTATTTTCACCTGTCTGGGCGGCTCACGACCGGTGCGGTGCCAGCTCCGTCTGGAGGCCCCCGTGACATCAGCGGGATCTAACTCTGGCGACCTCTGTGACCCCGCCGCTCCCTTATAGCAACGGTCCCCGTGACCTGACCGAGCCTATTTAATTCTGGTGCCCTTTGTGACCCTACGGACCCATCCCTGTGCTGTGCTTCCCTGGAACTCTGACGACACCTGACCGAGCCACCCAACATTTCTCCTAGTTCGACCCGGCTTCTGGAGCTCTAGCCTTAGTCTCATATTTACCAAGCGTGCAATTAAGGTTAGGGGATGAGAAAGGATGGTAGCAATGGCCGTGGAGCAGATAGCTGTCGCGTTGCCGCTGACTGTCTCTGTTCGTAGACTCGCTGTCAGGTGACCTTTATGTCACGGGGGCTTTGTCACGGTTCAGATTACTGAAACCTTATGCAGTCGGCCATTTTCTAACCATTGCTCCCCGTTTCTGTTCTATTTCAGTGCCGGCTTTGTGGGAGTAAGCAGCGTGCACGGGTTGTGTGCAGTGTTGGGTACTGTCGGGCCAGTACTGATGGATGGCGAGAGAAGGGCGGACGGAGCGCCACCTGGCGTCCGCAGTCGGCCGGGGCGCCGTCTGGCGTCTGCAGTCTGCTGATCGGACGTGCAGTCTGCCGTCTGCTCTGCAGTCTGTCGTTTAAAGACTGCAGTCTGTCCTGCAGTCTGACGTCTGCGGTTCTCCAGTCGGTGGGTCGGCAGGCTGTTCCGCAGTCTGAAGTCTGTACCGCTGTCTGAAGTCTGTACCGCTGTCTGAAGTCTGTACCGCAGTGTGACGTCTGTACTGCAGTCTATCGTCTGCAGTCTGCCTCCAGTGGCCAGTAGTGGCGCCGCAGAGTGTCAGACGGAGACACGTGGAACCTGGCTGTGAGGTGACACCTCAGCTTGTATCTATACCCGTAGGTCAGGGGTGACCCGGGGTCGGCCCGATGGCTGCCGGCCGCGGCCCGTCAGTGGACAGTCGCTGAAACTGCCAGTGGGTGCTATTTGGGTGTTATCTGTGTGCTTCTAGTCTTAGTAGGATCTCGGAAGCAGCGATCCTGCTTGCCGAAAACAACAATCATCAGTGAAGTCGTTGAATTAGTTGAAATCTTTGTGACCTGGCGTTGTTTGATGCGTGTTTAATCGCGGCTCCAAATCTGTTCAGATGGTGCTATAGATTGTGCTAATCGTATCGTTACAAACGCTGGAAGTTGGTAGTTTCTCGCGCTGCCAGGACGTTTTAACGTGTGGTGTCTGCGTTTTCCTTCGAACCCACATCGAAGACGCGAGTGCCTGGCCGCTGTAAATGTTATTCGCGTTGAAGCCGTCTGTTTAATCACGTCGAACAACGTTCGCGTTGGTATTATAGTGAGATCGGGGTGACCCAACCGAGCTACGCTAAAGTAGATACCCCACCTAACGCATTGTATCTTTGTTTGGGGGCGTGTTTTGCACATATATACATTATTAGTACCTGATGCATGTTGATCGGGCTTTTGTGCCGCGGTGCTACGTTCCAGTAGTACCGTGTAGCACACGCGCTAATCAGTTCTGCATGTGCTAACGGCTACATCGGTTAGCCGCGGACAGGACAGCTCGATTCGCTGCCCCGCATGGTCCGAGTGTGTGTGGGGAGGGGGGGGGGGCTGGCCGGGAGTTCGTGTCGCCCAAGTGTTCACGGCGTGGGGTAGGCAGCGGGAAATTGGGGGGGGGGGGTGGTGCTCCGCGCCTACTGCCGCCATAGGCTCGTCAATGGGGGTGTGTGTCGCTAATACACGAATCTCAACAGACAGTTTCTGCTTTGGTGGCGATTGTTGGCATCTTTTGCTCTGTCATTTTTGTTTTTACAAATATCGGCGAGACATGGTAGCTCATTTGACTTGCGTTGAATGCTATCAATTGAAAACCGACGGAACGACAGCATGAAAAAAGTTATGGTGGGCCATGGGTTGGTCGTGAGTACGTCGAAGGCCGCACAGCTGGCTGCCCCTCCCTCCCCCTCCCCTCCCCCTCCCCTTCTCACCGCATTCCGCAGGTGTCCTGTCAGACGCCCGGGGCCAGGTCACGTGCCCCCTACCTGGCGGCCATTGACCGGGTCACGTGGCCCATGGCTGACGGTCGTTGACCTCGGTGCTCTCCCCTCTGAGAGGGAAGTCGGTGTCAGGTGAGGCCCTCTCTGCACCTGTCAAACGGTGTTTGAATGACGCTAAGGCGGAACGGTGTGACCAGTTCTTTACAGCACAAAAACGCCTTGGGACTATTCCGGTTGGCAGAATGCGGAACGTTGGTAATGGCTTGTACCTATTTCACAGTTTCACTGCGGGTTGACCTGTCCTACTTAGTACTTTGACACGGGTTTGACAATTAGCACTGCCTAATTCCATGCATTTTTCGTCTAGTTTGTCAATGAACTACATATAAAATGACATTCATTCTCAAAGAACCACCACGGACGGGCTGTTGACCTGTATTACACCGTTGAATCTGAGCGACCCTCGTCGCCTCTACCGTCCACCCTCCTTCCGGTCGGCCACATCCCCGTCCCGTAAAACGTCCGGTCGGCCACATCCCGTAAACTGTCTATGGCAGTGGACGTGACCGGCAGCCCGTGCGACAGGGTCATTGTGTGACCAGCGAGGCGTGAGACGGTAACCAGGGCAGTAATCGGGAGCCGCTGGACCGACAGCAGCCGACAGTCAGAGCGGCGGCCATCGCGGAGAGACGGCGGCCACTGTCAGAATCCAGAGTTCACATGTCTCTGGGAAGTGTCATTTTTAGGTAGTTGATCCGCACAACTAATGGATAACGTATGTAATAAGTGCCAGTAAACTAAATTAAAGCGGTCGAAATATTAAAAAAAAATATATAGTTTATTCCCTAGAAAAAGCAGTTGGCATCACTTCAAGTAGTTGACCTCACAATTTAATCTATCAGCTCCGAATCGATCGCGACCAAATTAGGTCTGCGTTTTAGGCGCCGCCTGGTGTTGACGACGGTCAAGGTTATGCCCCGGGGCGATAGGGCGGGCGCGCCACGTCAACGTGCGTGAAGTGCCGGCGGCGGTATACGCCACGTGGGGCCGCCGGCCGGGGGCGTGTTTGAGGGTTGCAAGTGGTTCTTTGTGCTTGATTTATCGTGACGTGCTGTATTTGTCAGGAGTTGTGATGGTGACATCAGTGGCAGCTGAGACGCGAGCTATGTCTGAGAGACGCGAACGGTGCGTGATGAATGGCGGACATGACCCAGACTCGATGCGGCGACATCAGGAAAATGGCGACCGGGATCGCGGTGCTCGACGGCCGACTCCGGTTCCGTTTCATTTTCTGAAGCTGCTTGTGCTGACAAACTGGAACCATCGACAGGTCAGTCCGATCACTCACTCTAGCGATCGTTAGCTGTTTACCGTTGCTCACGTGAAGAGATGACGTTTATTCACAAAAAAACAAGTCGAGTGCCTCAGTCTTCACTACCTACCTATTCCAGTTATCAATAAATAACACAATAGTAAGCAATCAATAATACCTAACAAATTACAGCATCGTGAAGTGGAGGCATGTCAATGTTGTTGTGGCCAATGCCAATGGTCTTCTTGTCGAGGGCGGATCCGATCGGGCGTTGCGTTTTATTTGTGTGTGTGGGGGTGGGGGGTGGGGGGGGGGGTAGGTCATGACCAGTCGATGAGCAGGGCGGGGCCGGAGGCGAGGCGGGAAGGCGGTCGCCAATGGCTGGTTGTGTTGACCGACATCAAATGTTAGGGGGAGGGGTGCTCAAGATCAATATAGTTATTGCTTTAGGAAGTAGAAGGGGAAGAGGGGGAGGGTCGGGTGCGATGCCAGTGTTTTCAGGGGCAGGGTCAGAATATATAAATATTTTCAAAGTGATCTCACTGCAAAGTATGACCATTTAGACAAGCATCTGGTCGGTACTGGGTCGCTCAACGAACGGATTTAGTGCAGAACGTTGCAGGTGCGTTGCAGATTGTTCACGGTGCGGTGCGGATCTTGTGATTGTTGCTATATCACGGGTTCTGCCGTTGTGCCGTGCAGCGGAATTGCGGCGCTTGTGACACTGTCACGCAGTGTCCACGGTACCCAATGCCAGTTTGTTGCGATATCGGAGACCGAGCCCTGAGTAGACAACTCAGAGAACAGATTGACACCTAGACCGACATGCTGGGGACACATCCGTAAGGAGATTGACTGACACCCTAACTGCAGCTCTGAGGTCGCAGTCGCACCTCCGGCCGTCTGAGTCTGACTTTAGTGATAACTGCGGTCCTACATCACTTCCACGGCTGGTGCAGCCACACCATCTCATACACCCGCGCTCCCTGCCGGTCATTGTCCGCAAACAGCCGGCTCGGCTTGTGATAGGGGTTCATCTCCGAGCTAAACAGCCGGAAGCCCATCCTCTCCAGTCTGAGGAAGGTCTCCAGGTAGCCCTTCCAGGCGGCGAGGCTGGGCCGTCCGCGCTCCCCGGACTGCATGTGCACCTCCACCGCCAGCTGGCGGACGTTCAGCAGCAGCTGCGGCGTGCGCGTCATCATCTGCGCCAGCATCGGCCACTCGCTACCCTCCACGTCGATCTTGAGGTAGTGCACTGTGCGGTTTTCGTGGCCCAGGTGGCGTACTATGTCGCCGTAGGTGCGCACGTCCCACTGCCGGCGCCGCAGCGGGCTCACCGGCACCCAGCGGACCTCGTTCTTGCCGCCAATGCCGACGTTGTGGAAGGAGATGCGTTTCGACCGCCGGTGGTCGGGCCGGCCGATGGACGGGTCGAAGGCGTGGATCTCGCACTGCAGCCGCTGCACGTTGTCGTCGAACGACCAGTCGTGGTCGACGCCGAAGCTGTAGATGAGGCAGCTGTTGGTCTGCAGGAGGCCCAGCGCCGGGTCCAAACACACCCACTTGTAGCCGTCGAACTTACGGCTCTTGTAGTCGGGCTGGCCGCCGATCCGCGCCGCCTTGTCGCAACGCGCGTGCGGCTTCTCGATGTAATCGAAGAGGGTGGTGACCAGTTCGGGCCAGGTGGAGGGTCTGGCCCGCGTCCAGTCTGGCGGAGAGCCAGCGGCCCGCTCCCCGGGGGGTGGTGGGTGGGCGCCGGCACTGTCATTCAGACGCAGCTCATGGACGGGCCGCAGACAGTCCGACCTGCAACACGGTCCATAATTATTTGTTAACGTCTTATGATTTTATTCATTTTGCTTCCCGAACTCGACATAAAACAAAAAAATTAAGTCGAGATAATTAATATCCCAGATCGTTTGAAGAAGTGTGAATATCTGTTGTCTACGTAAATTTCTTTTTGGGTACCTACCAAAAGGCTCTCCCAAAAAGCCTTTATCTTTCATGATAAAATACAAATTCAACAATTTACAAAGGCGGCGCTATGAAAACCTGCACTATACGCGGCTGGTAGGCATTGGTAGTCAGGATCTCATTGTAAGGTAGGTAGCTCCTTCTTTTGCTCAGAATGTGCCAGTTTGGTGCATTTGGATGGGCTTGAAATGCATAGCGCAGCAGTGCATCAATGGGTTACGAGATAGGTACACTGGCTGATCCAGGGAAGGGACGGGGGCATTTCATGCAGATACCTCATGCAAATACCTTCATGCAAATACCCCAGCAGCGCCCGAAATCGTCGAAAATTTGTGTTTTTTTCGAGGATAAAACGAAAACCAATAAACTTTTATTTGGAAAGGTTTGTTTTAACCTGCACAGTCGTGCGTAAGGAATCGAAAGCCGATGAGTTTTTTTTTTTTGGAATTTGGAGAAACTTTTTTTGAGAGTATCCCCCGCAGCGTCCAATACCGCCTCTCTGGATCCGCCAGTGGATAGGTGTAACGTGTTTGTAGTCACCATGTAATCAGAAGGGGGCATCGCCCAGCTTGGCTTGGGACATTGCTCATTCATGTGCAAATGGCTTGCACATGCATAGGTCAGTTGCATACGTTTCAATTCTGTTGCAACCTGGGTCTGGCGTTGAGTCTGACTTGGACTTGGAGCGCTGCTAAATAGTTAGTTTCATAAATACCCATGGGTACGGTATGTGAATGGCTCATCCTTGTGGTAAGCACGTGTGCGTTGAAGTGCTATAACAACAGAGAGACATACAAACATGTTCAGCACTAGCAGCCAGGCACGCGATTTGATCAATATGGCTCTGGTGCATGAGCCTTATCTCTGGTATAGACATGCAGGGGCAATGCGCTCCCGGACGAGGCGGCCTGACACTGTGACAGTTGAATGGCCGGACGCTTCGGTCACCAGTCACCCAGAGTACCTACATACATATATAGAACACCAGTCACCCGACACCCACCTCTGACACGGTGCAGGCTGGCGAGGCTCGAACCGGAACACCACCAGCAGCAGGCCCTGGAGCGCGATCAGTCCGGCGATGAACAGCACCTTTTGACGGTGCGTCGATGATGTCTTCATCGAATACGAACCGTGATCTGCCAAAGCAACCAAGCTCTTCTGAGATATTCGATACAAAAGCACATGTCAAACAAAGAGTGTTGGAAAGGCATATCGGCACAATGCCATGTCCATGTGCAACAAACTAAAATGCAAAGCTTTGATTAGGTGGTTGGCTATCTTGGTAAGTAGGTACCTATATCAATTAGTATGCAATTAGAAAATCCCAGTGCACCAGGCTTAATTGTTGAATTCCGTCCTATTTTCAACCCGGAGTTACATGTTCAAAAACCTCGCACTGATGAGACAAGGAGTGAGTTTGTGGTTCGTATCACCTACCTACCTGAGACAGTCATGGCGCTGGTCCGAGTCGCCGGCGGCTGTGTCCGGCTTCCACCACAAGCTTTGTCTTTGGTCCGTGCTCGGTTTTCGGCACAATTCTCCGTGTCCGTCACCGGGTCTCCGTGTCCGGTACACCGGGCCTGTGCCTGATCTGCAGGGCCTCTGTTCGGCCGCGCTGGTTCAACCCGCCGAGCAGCGGCCTGAGTCGCTGCTCTGGGTCTTCTCCTTCCGTCGTGCCGCCGCCTGGTGCACTTCTGCCACCGTCACTGCGTCTCCGCCACTGTCAGTTCGTCTCCGCCACCGTCATTGCGTCTCTACCACCGTCACTGCGTCTCTGCCACTGTCACTGCGTCTCCGCCACTGTCACTGCGTCTCTGCCACTGTCACTGCGTCTCTGCCACCGTCACTGCGTCTCTGCCACTGTCACTGCGTCTCTGCCACCGTCACTGCGTCTCTGCCACTGTCCGCCAGGACCTCTGTCCGGTCCGCCAGGCTTCTATTCTGCCGCCGCGCTGGTCTGAGACTGGAATCGCTGCTCTGTGTCGCCCGCCGCCCGGGTTACTGTCGGCGGTCCGGCCGGTCCTCACGACCGGTCGGGAGGTGTCTCACGGCGTGTCCGTCCTGCACGTCACTGCGCCGTCGTCCCGCCGCCGCCGCCGCCGTCACGTCGCGTCACGGCGGCACGCGGCCGTCACGGTATGCGGCCGTGCAGCGGCTGCCGAGCGGGGCATCTCTCGGCACCACCCCGGGTTCAACAATCGGCCCCCACCGCGCCGCCGCCGGTCACCGTTAGCGCCGGGCAAAAACGGAGCACCTCACGGCGTCGGCGGCGCGGGCGCCGGACCGCTTCCGATTCGCACCGCGCCAGATGGTGGTCAGGAGGCCAGGGGTGCGTCCGAGGCCCGCCTCTGGGTCCGGCCTGCACACCAATGCACGCATAACGCCGTGAGTGGTTATCACCGGACTGGGTAAAGACATCTTTACGTCTCCGGATAAAGGCATCCTCACGCCTCCGTTTAGGAGAGTTCTGTGAGATGACAGGAAGAGATGACGCACAGGGCTAGGGGAGAGTGGGGTAATTTGGCCGGTGGTGTAAATTGGCCGCCCCCACCTGTACGATGTCTAATAAAAGTGAGTGAAATAACTCTAGTCTCTATTCATTTGTCATGGGTAGAAATAACTGGAGGACAAACGTCAAAACTTTGCCCCTCGTAGTTTTATTCAAAATTAATAAAACGTGAATTTCATGAGAAAATGGTAACTTTTATTTCTGTTTACAAAGTTGTATAACATGTAGTATTTGGGCCAAAAACGAATTCAGACATTATAGCGCCATTCTTGGGGGTGTTCAGCGGTTCCAAGAGCAATTTCATCTAATTCTGTATAGCCGGGATGACTTTATACACAAAAAATTTCAGAATGGCAATATGGGGTAATTTGGCCGGGACTAGCGGGGCAATTTGGCCGGTGCGCTCATGGTCACTATGCTGGGACGGCCGAGTTTTCATGGTCAATTGTACCATAAATAACATGATTCATGACCAACTTTGACTACTTTGATGCCTTACTTACAATTGTTCAACTGTAAGAACATGTGACGTCATCAAAGGTTACCAAACGTTTTTTGCTAATAAATCCTTACATAAAAATGGTACAGCCGCACAAATGGTCTCATTCTGTTCAGCTCGCCAACGCGCATCGATTGATATGCATGATGACCTTGAAATCACGTGACCTTGAGGTCAAGCGACCTGAGGTAACGTGACCTGAGGTCAACCTTTGACCTTGACTTCTCGAGGTCAACACATATATGTTTCGATGCGGAATGACGAGAGAATTACGATGGTACTCGAAGTTTTGGCCTAGCTTGATTACTTTAAAAGTTATTCGTAAAAAACTGTCTTCGCATCTAGAGCCGCTAATTTGGCTATTTTGACCCCTGTGACCCCATAAGTCAACCTTCAAAATGTGGTAAATGCGTCATAGGACACACGTCATTGCTGAATCTGAAGCTGACTCGCAATATAGCAGAAAATCCCGACCGCAAACTAACACCGGCCAAATTGCCCCACACCCCCGGCCAAATAACCCTGCTAGTGGGGCAATTTGGCCGCCTTGCAGGCCTTTGTAATGCGTCACAATTTCAATATAAGTAATTACTCTATCATTTCAAGTTCACTGTCCAGTAAAGTAAAATGAATGCGACACCTGCCAGCGTTGAGAAAATGCAGAAATGTGTCGTCAATTTTAAGTTACATCGTTTTCTAAAAAAAGCGGCCAAATTACCCCACTCTCCCCTACCCCATTAAACTTTATATACACGTCTGTTCTATGTGCACAAGGGTGCGAGCAGCGAGCGTCGCTGACTTGTTGGAGGCGTAGCTGTCATTGGTCTGACCCGAACTGATTTCGATGTTCTAAATCCGATGTAGGCATGGCAATTTATGCGACATTGTTTCTTCCAAGCCCTGCACTGTACGTATGTACACCTACATACAAATATCCGCATACGCTGTCGGCTCTTTAGCCGAAGTAATTTATTTTTTAATTAGCCATTAGGTGCGTACCTACTTCTCTAGGCGTTTTGCCGTTTAACTCTCATAAAACAAATTATGTTGATAATTTGAATTTAATTTGAACCTTTTACTTGGACTATATTCTTGCGCTATATACCTTGCAACTATTTTTTCGAAAGCTCTTTGCGTCTGTTCTACGCTTTCTTTTCCTTCGTTGCCAAACGGTAAACGTTTAACCCGCGCCCTGCTGGGGGGGGGGGGGGGGGGGTTCAACACCCCTCCGGATTTTCACGAATATCTCAAAAGCCGCCGTTGTTGGCACACCTTATCATACATCAATTCTAGACATGTTGTAAAAATTTCAGACCAAGGTCGTTCCAGGTCAGGTCACCAGGTCACTTCAAGTGACGTCACCTCATAAAATGTTTCAATGTATGCTATAGCTACACCGAGTGACCGATCGGTTCGAAACTTTCAGCGATTGATAAGAGCAACAATATGTACAAAATGTTTATCTCGGAATTTTCATATCGGTGACCTAAGGTCAGGTCAATTTTCCAACCTCCCCATTAGGTACCTATAAGTCAACGGAAGAAAATTCAACACCGCCTCTTTTGAACGAAAATCATTCTAAGCACTCAAACACTAAATTACAAGTAGGTAACTTTGACACACTAAACATAAAAATGGCACCCGTGACCCCTCTTTATGCCCCTGACTCCTGAGTTCATCTCAGGTCGCGAATGGTATCTCACAGTTTTTCGCGAATAGCTTTTGATAGAGGCATTCTAGAGCGATTAAAACGTCTTAGATATGTTCAGCTCGACGATACGGATCGACCAGTATGCAACATGGCCATTTCCGGTCAGGTCATGACCCTGACCTGAGGTCAAATTTTTAAGCTGACCTTTTAAGGTCAAATTATGGTTCATTCGATGCGTCTTGACGAGAGGAACACGATGCCGTTATCAGAAAGCTGGTACAAGGCTTGATTCAAGGGTTATTGCAGAAACCGTTTCCAAAAAAAAAAAAAATCTGAGAAAATTACACAGAAAGAGCGTTAAAAGGGCTATCAAATGTGCTTTTCCGCGGCGCTGTAGCTCTACTGGTTCCCGAGTTACGCGTCGGCTTCGAAAATTGTCGATATTCGACCTCAAAATCGGCGAAATTTGGCCTTCAATGATCTCTTGTCTCTTGTGACTTGATCTTTCACCTGACGAAAAAGTGACCGATGTGATTTCGTTATTATTTTTTACTCTTTCGAACGCCGCTTTCCCGTATCGCTTCGTGGCCCAGGAGCCGAGTTAGAAGGGGGAGGGGTGTTAAAACACCCCCCCCAGCAGGGCGTGTAATTCCAGGATCCCCAGGACCCCAGCGGGGCGCAGGTTAAATAAGAGGGGGCGAAAGATTCTCCTGCCGAGTTGATGGGAGGGACGGGGACCCGTCAATAGCGGTTGGTATGACGTGACTTTTACTCTGCAATGTTTGCTCTAAGGACAGTTCCATGTTCCTGTCGCATAGCTCCCGGAGCTCCCATCTCCACCGTGAGATTGCATCTATTTCTATGCACACGATCGGTGAACTTTGTTGGCTGTCGTCGGAGGCCCCCACCGTTTAAATCCGCCGTGGCTCCGCTGCTTTCATCTAAAACTCGGATAAATACTCCATCCATTCATCCGGCTGGCTTCTGTTTGACTTCCGCCCCGCGCGCTGGGCGATACGCCTTCCTACCACCTGGGCTGGGCGCGCCTCTGGCCGCCAGCATCGACTGCTGCCGAATCCCGCCGTCTGATTGGTCGACTAGCTCAGCTTGCATGGTGACGTCATAAATGTCTGCAACGCGGCGTCATGCGCAGCGCTGCAGACGCTGCATCGGCGCCATGGCATTGGGCACAGCCGTTTGGGGGAGGGTTTGTCTGGAGCATGCGGAGGTCGGCGGTGGTCACGTGTTGCGGTCACGTGGTTCTAGAAATAATATGAATTCATGAAAACAATACATTCGAAAATACAACTAACAAATTTAAAAATAGTCGTAGTATGAGTGCGGTTGAGCATTGTTTATTGGATTTCAGTCAGTGCATCCTAATCCAGTTTGTGATCACGTGATCTACTGAGCAGCTGATTTTGAAACTGCCCGAGGCGACTGCTGCGCCATGAGGGCACACGGCCAATGTCATAGTTGCTCGCTCTGCTGTCAGGAGCGCCGGACTGTGAGCGGCGGCTGGGGTATGTGGCGCCGCGCGCTAATTCTGTGATCCGGTGATTGTGGACGAGTTGTTCCGCGGTGAGGTCGTTCCCAGTCCGTGGTACACTGAATCCGCCGCTGGCGGTGCCTGCACGCTCTCCCGGCGCTGGGCGCTGCTCCTGCTGCTGCTGGGGGCCGCCTGCTGTCCGCTGCTGGTCGAGTGGATGAGCCCGCTGCGGCTGCTACGCCACCTCTGCCCCCCGTCCGCCACCCGCGCCATGTCCGCCGCCGCCGGTACCGGCTCCGGCGCCGACCTCTCGGTGGTGTATGTGACGGCGCCGTCCGATGAGGTCGCCCGTCGACTGGCCACGCTGCTGGTCCAGGAGCGCCGGCTGGCCGCCTGCGTCAACATTGTGCCCGCTGTCACCTCCGTGTACGAGTGGGAGGGCGAGGTGCACCACGACAACGAGGTGCTGCTCATCATCAAGGCGCGTGCCGAGTCGGTGCCGGAGCTGGCGGCGGCCGTGCGCCAGAGCCACCCGTACGACTGTCCGGAAGTGCTGGCGCTGCCCGTGCTCGGCGGCAGCGAGCCCTACCTGCAGTGGGTGCGCGACACCGTGCGGCCCAAACAGCCCTGAGCGGAGGCACGGTGCAGTTCTGCATCATTGCCTGCAACAGCGGGAGACGCGTGGTTCGGTTTCAACCGAAGCGCTGTGATTTTAGCGCTGTCCCGTCATCGTCCGGCATTGGTGATGGCACGAACGGATGGCGCATTTATCGTTGACATGTGATTTAACGGGTACTTGTCCAACCAGGAGCAGGTTTGTGTTTAACACGTTTGGTTTGTATAGAGGTTTGTCATTCGGGTAATAAAGTGCTTTGGTGCCTGGCTGGGATGCATTTTGATTTGTATGAAAGAGAAACCTTGCTTACCTTAAGCCAGAACAGATATCAGGAGCAATAGTTAAAGAGAGCATTCATGGCAATTTATTGAGCTTCAATGACGGTCAAGGTATAGCAACCTAAGTCACCTGACATGCGTCATTGCGTAATGATAATGAAGATCGATATGTGATGGTATGCCAGACTGGCAGTTGTAGCGTCATCTACAAAGAAGTACTAGTTGCAGCTGCTGCCACCAGATGTCCCTCTGATAGTCTATTTCTCCTGGGGTATTGGCGCTCACCTCTGTGGTTTATCGTCGGCACATCTTTGTCTAACGGATACTTGGGTTACGCTGTTGGCTCGGTACCCAGCCCTTCGCGAAACGGTCGCGTTTCTCAAAATAGTAGACAGTGCTCAAAATAGTTTAAATGAAATGGCACAAAAATGCCTTCATAAAAATACCTTCACAATACCGGTACATACCTTCAAATATCTTGGGTGGTAATTCCTTCATCCATTTCTGAGGAAGGTCAAGGGCGAGTCCCTCTCCCCGATAATAAAAGGAACATTCTTCTTCATCTGTACAAATATTTCTTTTTGTTCAAAAATGAAGTTTTAAGAGTGACAATGTTAGGTATACAAATCAAGCTATTACTCCATATTTGTGAAAGAGACAAGTTAGGATGGCGTGCAAATAGGCATAGGCCTAAGCAGGCACGTATCCAGGATTTCGCTCAGGGAGGGGCGACAGCCGAGAAGGGCCCGGAGGTCAGCTCAAAGGGGCCCCACGGCGACTGCTTATCCTGGTGTGAAAAAAAAATCGAGAATGTCGAAAGAACGGTAATTTTACGATAAAATTCGGCATATTGTAAATGAAAATGCATTGTCTTGCGTTAATCGACCTTGATAAAATGTTTTCAGTTAATTTCAGTTGAAGATCGTTTTTGCAATTCACTTCCTTTTAAATTCGTTAACCCGCGCCGTGCTGGGAGAGCCTTTTCACGCCCCCCCCCCCTTCAGGTTTTTAGTGAATATGTCAAAATGGCGGCGCGCAGCGCCGCCGTTTTTTCTACACCTGTTTATCCTTTTTCCGCACATGCTGTGAAAATTTCAGACCTAGGTCGTCTAAGGTCAGGTCGTCAAGTGACCTTACCTCAGAAAAAGTTCAAAGGCTTGCTAAAGCTTTACCGACTGAACGATCACTTTGAAACTTTAATGGATTGATAAGAGTAACAGTATGTAAAAAATGTTTATCTCGATTTTTTATATTTGTGACCTAAGGTCGGGTCAGTTTTGCGACCTCTCCATTATAAATCAATGGGAGAAAATTGAAATGCGCCTCTTTTGGACGACTGTCGTTCTAAACCGTCAGAAACATCGGTTCTTAGGTAAACATGACACAATGACTCGGAAATTTGCACCTGTGATCCCTCTGTGTGCCCCTGAGGTTATCTCAGGTCATGAAAGGTCACCAGCAGTTTTTTTCACTATAACTTTTAATAGAGACATGCATAGAGCGATGAAAACACGTCAGATGTGTTCAGCTCGACGATACGGGTCGACTGATATGCAACATGACCCTTTCCGGTTCGGTCATGACCTTGACCTGAGGTCAAATTTTCCAAATGACCTTTCAAGGTCAACGTATAGTTCATTCGACGCGTCTCGACGAGAGGAACACGATGCTGGCAAAAGTAATGTGAAGAAGAAGAAAAAGAAAAAGAAAACGTTTTGAAGAAAAAGTTATTACCGAAAAAAGTTTGTGAAAACGGCTATTTTTAGAGTTTTTGCCCTCTGCAGGCTATGGGTACCGTTGACCTGAGGTCAAGTCTGAGAACACAACTCAAAAAGTATTTATAAGGGCTATCGAATGCGCTTTTCCGCGGCGCTGTAGCTCTATTGGTTTCCGAGTTAGTCGTCAGGTGTTTCGAAAATTGTTGAAATAGACAAAATTTGGCTCACGGGCCAAAGGTCCCGGTCCGGGGAGAGCTGGGGAATACCTCCCGGCTCCCCGGCTGGGGAGATCTGGGTTGCATTTTTCACCCATTCACCCATTGTGTTGCATTGTTCACGCTAACATATTGCTCATTCTTGTCAGTTCAACTATAAAATCAGTTCAGTGAGCAGTACAAAGAAAAAAACATTTGAATTGGAAATGATACGTTCTGTACAGAATGCTTATAGTACTACGAGCTATAGAGCTCATTTTGTTTGGAGAACTGTGTACAGGAGCAGCCCCACGAGGTCAGTCGAAAGGGGCCCATTATCGGCTGTTGCCTGTTCCTCGGACCCGATGACCTGGGCAAGGCCTTCTCAGCGGGCCCTTCCGTTTCTGGGGCCCGGCCAGGACAAGCTGTTTCTGAGACCGGGCCCAGAAGCGCATATCTGGGCCCGTTTTCTTGATACATTGTCGAGCCCAAGGGCCCATCACTTAAGCTCAAAAGCCTGGTCCAAGGCCTTCTGAGCGGACCCTTCCGCTTTTGGAGACCTCCCGGACCCCAGGTTGTCATTGGCTTGGCCCGGTTCGCTTTTGGGGCCCGGCCAGGGACCCGTATGGGCACCAGCAAGGCCTCATGGGGCCATTTTTTTAACCCGAAAGCCTGGACATTGGACAAGATCTTCTCAGCGGGCCCTTCCACTTCTAGGGCCCGGACAGGCCAAGATGTCCCTGTGACTGGGCCCGGAAAAGGATTTTTTCGGATCCGCTTTCCATAACTTCTCCAGGGCCAATAAGGTCAAAAGACGGACCTTCGGGCCGATAAGGGTTTGGGGCCCAAAATTGATAAGGTTTGGGGAACGGCAGGGCCATAGGGGCCCTTCCCCAAGCCTGAAGGCTCGAGCATATCCTCCTGAACGGATCCTTCCGCCTTTTGGGCCCTGCCGGGCATCAAATTGCCCTGGCTCTGCCCAAAAGTGGGGCCGAAGGGCCCAGTTACGGACCTGTTTGTGGCCCAGCAGGGCCCCAGGGGCCCATCACTGAACCCGAAGGCTCGAACAAAACCTTCTGAACAGGCCCTTCCGATTTTTGGCCCTGCCGACCCCAAACTGTTCCTAGCTACGCCCAGGGCCCGCTTTTGGGGCCCGGCAGGGCCCAGGGAGGGGCGACCGCCCCCGTCGCCTTTCAAGTTTTTTTTCGTACTTCAACGTCTAAGTTGGACCACGCTTATTAATTTTATTTCGAGAGTAAAGGCTGGCAGTCATTTTATGGGTATTGAATTGGTACATTTGTTAAAAAATAATACCTATATGATCTTGTGTTTAGAATTCGAGACCCTTCAACTATTTTATGAATTGATATAGAAGCAAACATAAAAATTCATTTTCCGTTCCGTTAAAGGTTGTCGAGATGGTCATTTTTGATCCAGTGCTGAGCGCACTGTGTGCCGCAAAAGGACATTCAGACCGAGATAAACATTGAACATGTATCGATGCGGACTGTACTCGAACGGACTGGCGGTGCTGCAGTAAACGGACGTCGCTAGCACACGAGAGACGCATAGGACGGAACATCATAGCACGTAAACGCGGCGCCTGCTTGTGGCTCGCTGACTGAACGAATGACGGTTGTAGAGAACAGTAGGTACTTGAACGGTAAGTACTTACCACTGGCATTATGACCAGTAAAACGCCTTTTGGGGCGACAAACGGAGCGAGCGAGTGGGTGAGCCTTGCACGTGCGGAATTGCGAGGGGGTGCTTCCAACTGACCTGTGCAGTGTGCACGGCACCCTACTAACCGGTCTCTAGCAATGTGCCAGATTTGAGGGCAATCGGCCCAGCCGTTCTCGAGATCTGGAAGCGGCACCCTGCATGTGCGCACGTGTCAACTGGGTCCCAAGTGACTTTTGCACGGCACCCTACCAACCTAACTCTAACTCCGTGTACCAAATTTGAGCATAATCGGTTCAGCCGTTCTCGAGATCTGGAATTGACCCCTGCACGTGCGCACGTGCAGCAGCACCCCAACTGTGGCACATGGAAATGCATTGCCTAGTGGGTGCCTACCTACATACCAAGTTTCAGCGCAATCGTCCCAGTAGTTATCGAGATATTGCAACTGTTACAAAACTGACACCTCTTCGTTTTGCACGTGGCACGTGCATAAGGAGTCACCCACATGCATCGAAAATAGTCCAGTACTTGGTAGAAGGAATACAGCTACCCTATAAAAATTACCGCAAGTAAATCGGTCAAGTGGTTGCTGAGATATAAAGGCCTGGCTACACTGTGCGTTTTCTGCGTGCGTTTTTTGCGAGTTTGCGCGATTTGCGTAATTTCGTTCTAGAAAAAAGTTATACCTAATATTACTCTGTAATATTTATATAAAAGTTAATAAAACTTTTAACTATTAATTAAAAGTTTATATGAAAAACATATAACAAACACGTAATGTCGTTTCTCTCTAGAACGATATTACGCAAATCACCCAAACTCGCAAAAAACGCACGCAGAAAACGCATAGTGTAGCCAGGCCTTAAGGCCTGGCTACACTATGCGTTTTCTGCGTGCGGCCTGGCTACACTATGCGTTTTCTGCGTGCGTTTTTTGCAGGTTTGCGTGTTTTGCGTAATATCGTTCTAGAAAAAAGACGATATTACGCTTTTTGTGATGTTTTTATATTAAATTTCAGTTAATATAAGAGTTATATTAACTTCTGTATATGACTAATGTAAAAGTTATATTATTTATAACTTTTTTCCAGAACGATATTACGCAAAAAACGCAAACCCGCAAAAAACGCACGCAGAAAACGCATAGTGTAGCCAGGCCTTTAAGCTTCGCAAAAGCGTGACTACGGCCTGCCGGCCGCTCATACTCAGAAATTTCTGCTATTCTACGTAAGACTTCGCTCGCTCCGTAATTAGCGACCAGTAAAACGCCTTTAGGTGCGACCAACGGAGCGAGCGAGAGGGTGAGCCTTGCACGTGCGAAATTGCGAGGGGTACCTCCAACTAACGGGACTTTACCGCAAACAAGGAGGTAAAGAAGGTTGACGGCGCGGCAGCA